CGCCGCCCCAGCCATGGAGCCAGACAACAGCCCCCGGAAGATCCAGTTCACGGTCCCGCTGCTGGAGCCGCACCTCGACCCCGAGGCGGCGGAGCAGGTGAGGAGCAGGGCGGGGCAGCAAGGGACTCGACCGCAAAGAACAAGGGACCCCTGGCCTGGTGGGACCCAGGGTCCCTGCCTCGTCCTCTCTTAGCAGTGCGCCCTTTGGAGGGCGAACGCGCTCAGTTTGGGGGTCTTCTATCCCCTCCCCCACCGTCGAAGCCACATCTCCCCGTCTGTGCTTCTTTGAGACCGACCGAAGGACGAGCGCCTCCACTCGATGCCTGTCCCCGCGAGAGTCGCTGTCTTCCTCCCCAGTGCTGGGGGAGGGGGCTGCCTTGGGACCCGACCCCTCCCCCGTTCCAATCTTGCATCCTCGCCGTCTCCCCCACCCAGCCAGCCCCCGCCGGAGTTCTGAGCTGGGCGGCGGTGCCGAGGGTGCCGGTAGCAGCGCGGGAGGGAGAGGGGAGGGGTCGGTAATGGAGGGAGCCTGGAACTGTGGGAGTTGGAAGAGGAGAAACAGCTCTCTGGGTCCCCTACTCACACCTTGCCAGGCTTCAGAGAGTGATGACAAGAAGGGGCTAAGGACAACAGTGAGGACTGGGGCTTTGGGGAAAGGGGTGGTGGAATCTGCAGTCTTCCTTCTCCTGCAAGTCGGGACACGTGGGTCCTTATTCCCAACTCCTGCCCTATGGAGTGGGGAGTGGGGGTGGGATGGAGGGAATAGCTCTGGGAGGCCAGAGGTGGGGACTTTCTAGGGACAGGGGTCCAAGCTGAGCGCTATGCAAAGGAAAAGCATTGTGAGGGCTTTGGCTCAAGGGGTGCGAGTCCAGGGCCCTGGCCCAGCCTCCTGGCCTGGCCTATTTTTAGCTCAGAGCAGGCTGGCAGAGGCGGCAGTGTATGACAGTGTGTGAGCAAGTGCGTGTCTCTGTGAGAGTGAGCGTGTGTAGAGAGGGTGACCACCCGCAGTCCTCACTACCGCCTGCTTGCCAAATATTTGCTTACTTGCCCATTGCTCCATCTCTTTTTGTATACTCTGTCCAATTGCCTAGATATCCCCATTCCTAAGGAATATCCACTTCCCTCAAGGTCAGTTCTCCATTTCCCCCAACCAGCTGCTAGGCTCCAGCTGGGACCCTGCCCCCCAAAAAACTTGAAAAACCTTTGTGACCTGTTGGGATGGGCTGGAGAGAGTGTTCTGTTTTGGCATTGCTCCAGATGTTTGGTAGAATAACATCTGGATGTGAAGGGAAAGGGCAGGTACACACACTTCTCTATAACTTTAGATTCCCATAGTGGAGGTAGGGGTTAGATACCTGCACCTCCATCCTCTTCCTGGCCTGGGCTGAGCCACATCTCCAGACCTCCCAGGTGTGACTGTAGGAGGGTTGTGATGAGACCTAACAAACCTCCTGAGGATGAGGATGAGGAGAGTGGAGGACCACTACCATGGAGAGCATCTCGAGGTCAGGGGAAAGGCTATTACGCCTGGAGAGGGGACATTGGCTAAGATAACCTCAGACACATGAAAAAGGGCCCAAGCATGTGAGCCTTGGGGGTTGGGGGTGAGCTCGCAAGGAGAACTGCCTCCCACTGGCACAGACAGAGCCTGACACCTGCATCTGTTTGGTATTAGAGGAGGCAGGTGTTGTGGGTGTGTTGGGGGTAGGGGGAGTAGGCCAGCTGGTTCAGGGATCTGAGGGGCAAGGGAGGAGCATGAGGCAGTGCTAAGGAGCCAGAGGGGAAAAGAGTTGGGACTTAGGTATGCTTTTCTCTAATCTTCAGAAATCTGCCTCCTAGGCCTTAAATTCTACCTGCAGTCTAACCTTTGCGCCTCCTGCTGTGTTACCAAGTGTGTAGGCAAAAAGCTCCAGGCTTGGCAGAAGCTCCTAACCCAGACCAGTATAGGAGGACAAAATGAGTCGGAATCTCTGAGTTATGGAGCACCGAGTGGCAGGGGGTGGAAGGGTGCCCACAACTACAGATCCTTGGCAAGACTGGTTGGAAATAAGTCAGAAAAGAAGGCACCACATGTTCATGAGAGCTAGGATGGGTGTGAGAAAAAGAAAACAGACCATCTACTCTTCCTGGTAGTTCAGGTGCCTGGGGGGTGCTTCAGGAAGTCTGGCTTTCCTCCCTCCTGCTGTAGGATATCACAATTCTCCAGGACTCTGAGTGCTTAGAAATCTTGTCCAAGGCAAGGAAACAGGTTAAGGTAAGAATCTATCCAAGATCACAGAGCCCTGCTGCCCTCTCAAAGGCCCTTTTTGTCATTCTTGTGGTCTCCCTCTCGGGCTCCCAACTAGGATGTTATCCCAACCCACAATATCCGCTGCATGCTCTCTCTGTCTCTTCCACTCTTCTGTAGCCTCCACCCCCACCCCCAGAACAGGAAAGAATAGACAGAAGAAGTCCTCTTCTAGTGGGAGGATGGCCCCCACCCCACATACATGAAGCACACATGCCTGCCTGCCAGCCCCCAGCCCATTTACACCAGTAATAGAGACAAATCACAGTTAATGTTTGTGCAGTGCATGCTGTGTACACACACACACACACTCAAAGGACTGCTACGACTGGGGACCTTGAAATGTCACCAAAAACAGATGCCACTGGATTCTCCTGGGAAAACGATG